TTAAAGCAATGTAATACTATGAAAAAGAGATGTGATAGACTCAACTAAGGTAGTGCCAGAGTGGATGGAGAGCAGGTCTGATTAGGAGAGAGGTTAAAGAAACAGATTCAAGTGCCCCAAATCCCCATGTAAATTCCTCACCCACATAAGAACACCTTTTGATATCTACCCCTGAGTGCAACTGCCTATCATTTTCTCCCACCAGCCATAGGAACCATGCACTTTAGACACCCCCTGTCTCCTGCAATTTGCCACTTGTTCTATATTCACCTCTATCTGGTCTGTTTGCCTGATATATTTTTCTCCCCAATTTTGCCTCCTTTATTTTCTGGAGAAAACGTTGCTTTATCTGACTCTGGTGGACTATTTGTGCCCCACCCCTACAAATTCATATGTTAAAGACTAATACTCAGTGTGATAGTATTTGAGAGTGGAGACTTTAGGAGGTAATTGTGTCATGAGAATGGAGCCCTTGTGAATGGGATTAGCATCCTTATTTAAGACACAAAAGAGATGATCTCCCTCTTGACTATGCGAGGATACAGCAAGAAGGCGACCATCTACAAACCAGGAGGAGAGCACTCACCAGACACAGGATCTGCTGGCACCCTGCTCTTGGAAGTCCTGGCCTCCAAAATTGTGAAAAATATAATTTGTTGTTTAACCTACACAGTATATATACATTTATTATAGCAGCCCAAATGGACTAAGACACTGACCTCCCCTGGTAGAATTAACCACTTTGCCAGTTGTTCAAAAAGCCCCTTAAGTAAGTATACTTCTGCTAAGATATAATATGTACAAAATATAACATATATATATTATTTTGTTGTTGGCATCAAAGTTCCTGTTAGGGAAATAACTATTTTTATTTAAGAAAATATACTGAAAAACAGAAGTTAACAAAATGTGAGGCCTCAAAGGGATGAGTTAGCAGGAACACAGAGATAGATTAAAGAAGTGCGTCTCCAGAAAGGGAGTATGAAGCTGGGAGAAGACAGAGGAGAGAAAAGTTGGTGATGAGCTGCGTGCGTCTCCAGTAAGGGAGTATGAAGCTGGGAGAAGACAGAGGAGAGAAAAGTTGGTGATGAGCTGCAGATATATAAAGAACATGGTGGAAATTACCAGAAGGTAGAAGTTGCCAGAATCGTTGAGAGACTTAAGAAGAGAGAAATCTAATATTCAGCTTAAGGTCTTCTCCCATATGGTGATGAGACACAATTCTCTCATGCCATTACTCCAAATTGTCCCCAGTAAAAGTCTGCTTCCCATGGTGGCATCGAGAGTAGAACTTTGGGATATAAAAGAGAAAGATCTGTAGCCTCTGTTTCAGTTGCCATCAAGACAAAAAGGGATCAGGATCAAAGAAAACATATATAAAAAGAATTCTGAAGACAGAGGGTCACCAGAGTCAACAAGGGAATTTAGAAAAAGAAATCCCATCCTTCCTTCATTCCAGATCCCTGCCTCTACTCACCATTGTGAACCATGTACAATGCCAGTAATTTCCCCACCTGTAAATTTAGAGAGATAAACTAGATGGTTCCTCAGGCCCCTTCTGCTTTAATATTCTATGAATCTATAAAGCGTTGTATCAAACTAGGGGAAAACAAGAAAAGTTGTGTCCTATTGTAGTAGATTGTTTGGTGATATGAATTAACTTGCTTAGGCACAGGAGATGATACAAATAATGACACTCATTTAACACCTAAGGAAAAAAAAAAAGAAAAAAATTAAGAGAAGTATTCTCATGGCACCCAAAAATGGCTTGTTTAGATTATTCTGGCAGCTTTGTAACATCTGTTCTAAAAATTATGATGTGTTTTGAAATTACTACTTGAGCGTATATACAATGTGTGTCAGACATTTATGTAATTATATTCTTTTAGAAAAAAACACAGTTCCGGTATTCGTTGGATACAAACATGCTGATATAAGCAAAAATCAATTTCCCATTCTCTCCAAACCTGGCAATTTAAAGGTAGTTAACACCAAGTTAACATTAACTTAAACTGTCAGTTTAACATTAACTTAAACTGTCAAGTAACAATTAATGATAAAGGATTGGTCCTTCCCTTGATTAAAATGCAATTATGTGGAAGGAAAATATTAAATTATTTCTGTTTATCCACCAGCAATTATCTGACTGTGTTTAAGTAACTCCAGTACAAAAAGCTACTATTTGGAAGGAATACGTGTGTTGTTTGGGTCTACTCACATAAATGATGGTGAGTCTGTCTGTTTTGCAGTGGAGAGACTAATGCAAGGAGGTAGGGGAAACTGTTGTAATTTCTAAAATGAGCAGATATTGATGTAACTAAGTCAATTTTCCATCAGTCATATATTAACTGCATGCATACAGAACCAGTGGTGTACTGTGCAGAGTTCTGGCCTGGATTCGAATTCTGACTCCAATGCTTATTGTTTGTATGATCTTAGTTACTATCTGTGCTTCAGTTTATTTCTGTGAGATATATATATACACACACATATATGTATTATATATATATATATATATGTATAATACATATAACACACAACTATGTATTACATAGGTGTGTATTAATTTTGTTAGAAAATTTGCCAAAAGAAGGGATTTAGAGAAGGTATAAATTACGTAAGAAATAAGCAAGTGTTTCTTTGTTATAATATTGGAAGAAAATTAAGGGATTTAAAGGCAATACAATGTAATTGTAGAATGGATATAGGCACCTGGGGAAACAGAAGGGACCTGTTTGCATTTATTACCGACTATATTACAGACATTGGAATAGACCCATTACCTGTGGCAGCTCATACAAACTGTCTAACCTTCTAAGAAGTTATTATATCCATCTTACAAGTATAGGAATTAAGGGCTCAGGGATGCCAAGTTAATTATCTAAGAACACGAAGCTGGTAAATGGGTAAGTCATGATCAGACTCAAGTCTTTAGATAATAACTTTATGGTCTTTGCACCGCTGTGTGGCACTTCAGACCTGGTAAGGTGTGTAGCTTATAGCCACTAATACTAGATATCTAAAGCAGAATTTCTTAAACTTTTGCGTCTCAGGACTATTTTACACTCATAAAAAAGTATTGAGGACTTAGAAGAGCTTTGGTTAATGTGACAAATAGCTATCACTGCATGGCATTATAGAAATTAAAACAGAAAAAATTTAAATTATTTAAAAATGAGATTTATAAACCCATTGCACAGTGTCACAAATAATGTCTATTTATAAAAAATAAGACTTATCAAAGCAATAAATACTAGTAAGAAGAGTGGCATTGTTTTATAGTTTTTGCAGACCTCCTTAATGTTTGGCTTAACAGAGGACAGATGAGTTCTAATTCAGTAGCTTAAATATGTTGTTTTGTTTGAAATACATGGAAATAAAAGGAGTATTGTAGGAGTCATTTCAGATATTTTTTGACCTTCCTCTCTGATATAATACCAAAACTCAACAACTAATCTTTCTAATGTTTCCTAAAGATTAGTTGTAATGTGGAATATCTGAAACAACTTTTCATGTATTTTACATTAAAATTTTTGCCTATCTTCACTTGAAATAGATTTTTACCCTTGTTTGATTTTTGATTCTTATGTATCAGTCATTTGGAACCTATTGGTTTAACAGCTTCCTAATACTGACATATTTTATTATTCAATGCCAAAAAATGACATTTGCTAATATTACCACAAATCTGATCAGAACAGCCTTTAAAAATTGGGAAGCTGTCAAACTCATGAGACAGATATAAATTTTCCATAATTCTAATTTTCACATGGAAGCTTGAACTTCATCACTGGAAACAAATATTGTTAGTTTGTGTTCCTTGAAATGACAGGTGCATTTTGTTGATTTTCCAAAACTCTTGGCCAAATGAAGAAGTCTGAAAAGCACTGTTTGTCAATTAGTCATTCTTTCAAAAAAAAGTTTCATGAAAAAAGCATCTAGTTCAGCTTGCAACTTAAAAAATTGCACGAGGTGCTTTGGCACAAGACAGCTATGGATTGAAAAATACAGAACTGCTTTAAACATACTCCCCATTTTGTCACACACAACCTTCAAGCATGTTCATTTCAGAATCTAGATGTTTTTAAAATAACAAATGTTACTGCTTCATTAGGAATATTTTGAGTGAGATTGAAATATCCCTTTTTTGCTGCAAGTATGTGGAGGTGAAGAATGTGATGACTATTAGCACAGTTTGGTGCCACTATCTTGCTTTGTGCTATAAGACCAGCAGTTAAACCCACCATTACATTTGCATAAGCAGGGTAAATGACAAACAGTGAGAACAAAACACAGTTTAGTAGTATTACAAAAATAGCTTTGACATCCTGGATCCCTCAAAAGAACTCAGAACACCTTCAGAGATAGGCAGATCACACTTCGAGAGCTAGGGTCTAAAGGATTATCTTAATGATTAAATAATTTAAAAAATGTCAAGCTGATAATCAGATAAATTTGCTAAGCAAAAGCCTTAAATGTGTATGATTTGATTAAATAGAAAACCTATGTGTTACAGCATTTAATTTTTGCAGGGAGTACAAGAATAGGCAAATTATGTCAATGCACACAGAGCCACACAAATTCTCCCTCAATCTTTTTTTGGTTTAGGAGTTTCTTTAGGTTTGATCAAAGTCATTGAATTTTTAATTAAAATTCTTTTTTTTTTTTTCGAGATGGAGTTTCGCTCTGTCTCCCAAGCTAGATTGCAGTGGCATGATCTCAACTCACTGCAACCTCTTCCTCCCAGATTGAAGTGATTCTCATGCCTCAGCCTCCAAGCAGGTGGGGCTACAGGCATGTGCCATCACGCCTGGCTAATTTTTTTTTTTTTTTTTTTTTAGTAGACACAGTGTTTTACCACATTGGCCAGGATGGTCTCAAACTCCTGACCTCAAGTGATTTGCCTGCCTCAGCCTCTCAAAGTGCTGGGATTACAGGTGTGAGCCACCGTGCCTGGCCTATGTTCTATTTTAAAATGATTAATGTAAAAAAAAACTTACTTTCAAAGAAAGATCCAACACTTCATCACATCAGCCTTGTTAAAGTTTCTGAACTTCTTGGCGAAAATAAATTTTATACAATTCTTCAGTATAAGGAAAGGTCTAGAAAAGGAAGGAAAATGAGAATGAAAAAGAGATAATAAAGGAGGAGATGACCTGTTGAGTAGGTGACACCAGTGGCTGAACTTGTCTTCTTTGCATTACACCAAACAACCCCTTCCAGGTGACAGGAATCTGCAAAATTGTGGAGGATTCTCTTTTAACATGGTGTATTAGTAAGTTCTCTTATTGCTATAAAGAAATACCTAAGACAGGGTAATTTATAAAGCGAAGAGGTTTAATTGGCTCACAGTTCCACAGGCTATACAGGAAGCATGGCAGCATCAGCTTGGATTTTGGGGAGGCCTCAGGAACCTTATGATCACGGCAGAAGGCAAAGGGGAAGCAGTGCTTCATGTGACTGGAGCAGGAGGAAGAAAGAGAGGGAGCAGGCACTGCAAACCAGATCTCATGACAACTTACTATTGTGATGACAGCATGAACAGAATGGTGTTAAACAATGAGAAGTCACCCCGATGATCCAATCACCTCCCACCAGGCCTCACCTCTAACACTGGGGATATAGTGTAACACGAGACACAGATCCAAACCATATCACCTGCATTTCCATTTAATATTGTCATAAGTAGATTTGTTTTCTTAAAATTAAATATTTGAGGTACTACTGCATATTTTTAAATACACAATCTGTTGATAATGTGTAGAGAAAACAAGAAGACAGCATCAATTTCATGTTCACCATACATGAGGCAAACTTCTTAACCTGCATAGGGATCCAAGTCAGCTGGTCTGGAACACCTGAACTACATGGGCTTACAGATCTATACATTTTACTCACACAACAATAAGTACTAGAAAAAAATGCAAAGACAGCATTTTTATTGTTTACAAAAGCAGCTCAACCAATGGTTAAAAGTGTAGCACCTGAAACAGACTTGCTTGAGTTCAGCTCCACTTCCACCACTTATTATACATGTGACCTTGGGTGAGTCCCCTAATCTCCCTGTGGTTCAATTTAGTTCCTTCTATAAAATGGACACCAAGATAATAATTTCTAATTCATAGAAATTATATGTTGGTTTTCTAACATGCAGTCTTTAATAGACATTACATTTTTGGGGTTAATTGTTATTAGGGTTAAATGAGTTAATAAATGGAAAGTGCTTACAACCAAGAACTACAAGGAGTTTGTTCTCCTTGTCATCATCATCATAATTATTACTATCATCATTATTACATGGTTTAACAGATTCTCTCACTTACTTCTAAATAAAATGTCCCCACGGTAGTACACACCAAGCCAAGTATAGAATGAAGCACACATATTGCTTTTTAGGAGGAAACTTAGTCCTCGTGAATTCTGCTTACTTGAGATCCTTCTGGCATCCAAGGGAATTTTATGTGAGTTTTCAGGGAATTCTTTGATCTGTTGCTGAGGATAAGAGTTCCATTCAAAAGCTTCCAATTGCACTTCATCCATGTTACTACTCTCAAAGACAGCCATAACAGCAGCTTCCATGTTAAAATTTTTTTCCACGTACACTCAATGAGAATGGGATATCTCCTTTGGTTCATTTTTCATTTTTATTTGTTTTTCTAATCTTCCACAAGTTCCACTTAACCAAATAACTCACAAGATTTTCTTTTCTACTCTTTTTCTCACAATTTCTCTCCTGACTTTCATTCTTCCTGCAGATTTGAAACTAATGATTGCCAGTTGGAATACACAAAAACTTCCCTAAGCATCTCCTCTTCAGCCCAAGTACTCAGCTCCATTCTTTACTAGGCAGGTGCACCCTCAGGGTACGTTATTTTTTTCTTTGTGTATCCATGCTTATTTGAGTTAACTTGTAACGCACAGGGCTTTTGATTATATGGAGATACTTTGTACTTCAGCAGACATAGAGGGAACGTTGTTGGTGAGGGAAGTTGTAGCATGATCTAGAAATTCCTTTTTGTCATGAAGCAGGACCCTAAAGCATTTCTTTCATTCTGGAGAGAAAGTCACACAGATATACAAGATGAACATCACCACCAATAACAACCACCTCCATCAATGCAAACAAGAGCCAGAAATCAACGAGTTGAAGTATTAACTAGCCACATAGTCATTACCTTATATCCCAACAAGCCCAGGGAAAATTAGGATGCCTAACACAGGATCCTGCTTTTCCCAAATAAAATTTCCACAATATATCCCACCATCTCTTTTGGTTTAGGGCTCCCTTAGAATATTTTCTAGGCACTGCAAATTAGAAAGGTGTTGGTTTTCTAACATGTAGTCTTTAATAGACATTACATTTCTTTGGGTTAATTGAATTATATGGCAGGTTAGGAACTGCACCTCATTGGTGAAAAAAATATGTACATTTACTAATTTTGCCAGTTTGGTTTATATTCCTTGGAAGACTCATATTTTGTAGAAAGATATTGTATAAATATAAACAACCCATCCTCATGTTGCCTTTCTCAGAAATGAATATATTTGGCTAAGAAAGCATTTCGAGCTTTCTGTTCTTTCAGGCACTTTTATTTCTAATAAGGTTCTCTGCCCTCTAGTGGTTGTTTTGTTTCTGGCATTGGAGTCAAGGTAATGTACAATTAGGAAGCATAATTTTGCCTAAGGATTTTAAAAGGAGTGGTTGTGTTCTCAATTTAACATTTAAAATGGTTTCTGGAGGGCCATGAGGATGCCAGGGGATTCTAGGATGACTTCACCTCATGTTGCACAAAGACAGGTACAAATTTCTACTTTATTTTTCAACCTATTTCTCTGTGCTGGGGGGGGATCTGTCTCATTTAGGCTACATATTATAGTCTATTATAATAATTCATTATTTCCATTTGCAAGTTAACAAAGAAGAGTTTATGTATGGCCTTAAATTCTGGCTGCTGGATAAAAGGCTTGAAATTCACTCTTATGAAAAATGATAAATGAGTCCTGTCAACTTTGAAGGCCATAGGGTAGATCCATATGGTGTGTTGTGGGGCCCATCTTCCTATTTCCAAGTCCAAGGAACTCTTTGGGAATCTGGTCATACTCATGCTTGGGCTTTGAAAAAACCAAGGTGATTTGGAAAATGTTTTCTGAGATGTAACAGCTGCGGCTGCATGATCAGAGGCAGATTTATTTTGGCACAGCTGCCAGGCCCTCATTGAGCCTTCTGTGAATTTTAATTCCTAGTAATTATTGGAAGTGACACAAAGTCTTATTAATTAACCCCTTTGACACAAACAGAAGGTGTGCTTCCTTCAGAGGACTGGGGGGTGAGTTGGAAAAGAGGTCATGGCGTGGCACTCTCACCCCCTTATTCACCAACCCACAGAAGATTAAGATGATCAGGTGGATTGGTTTGGAACTGCTATTTCATATTAATCTAAGAAGCTAGGCTATCCAATAATTGTATGATGATGGGGGAAAGAAATAATTCTAAAGAGGAAACTAGGATCAAGAAGAGGGATCAAGTGTTGGAGAATATATCTAGTGCAGCTACAGCATGACTTCAAATCACATTTTCTACAATTCTTATGTCATATTCTCAAAAGATTATTGTTTTAAAATATTTATATTGTGAAATAAATTATGTGTGTGTATGTGTGTGTGTAGTTTAAAAGAATAATGAGAAAACAAATACCCTTGTACCCACTACCTGTATGAGGTAACGCCAAACTGTTTTCCAAATTGTTGTGTAACTGTTCCTTCCTAACAGCACTGGAAAAAGAGTTCACTACACCACACCACCTTACCAATGCTTCATATTATCCAGCTTTTAAACATGTGCCAACCTTATAGATATGAAATGGCAGTTCTCTGTAGCTCAGTGTTTCATGTCCCTGAATTCTAATGAGTTTAAGCAACTTTTCCTGTATCTATCAATATATTTTTACCTATAGTTTCTACTGAACCATTTGTCTTTTTATTCATTTGTAAGAGTCCTTTATATCTTCTGGATATGTAAGTTCAGGGGTTTATATTGCAAACATCTTCTCCTGGTCTGAAGGTTGTCTTTTTGCTCTCCTTGTGGTATATTTTGATGAATAGAAGTTCTTAATGCTTTATTTATGTAGTTGAATTTATCAATAATTTATTTGTGGTTTATGTTGTCTGTCGTTTATTTAAAAAATTCTTTTCTTCCCCAGATTCTTAAAATAGTGTCCTATGTCATCTACAGTGTTACTGCACTCTTTTGTATCTGTGGTAAAGAAGGCTAACTGTCCACCAAGTGTTTGTGCCTCTTCTCTTTGGAAGGTAGAATCATCAGGGAGAAGTTGCTCAGTCAGTGATTAGTTAACCCTTGTTTGCATCTAGATGGGATCATGTTACTAGTTCTTGTTAATGGAATATGAGTAGACGTAATGTAGTGCTTATATAAGAAGGGCATCAATTCTCTCCTTCCCCATCCACAAAGATGCAAATACTCTAGGATCTTAGGATCCGATGAAGCCACAAGTGGAAGGAACGTAGAGCCTTGAATGACAATGTGTAGGTAAATAGCCTACTACTATAGACTGACTGTTTCTGTTCCTCTGAAATTTGTATTTTAAAGCCTAACTGTCAGTATGATGGTATTAGGAAGTGGAGCCTTTGGACAGTGATTAGGCCATCCCTGTTGAATGGGATTAGTGCCCTGATAAAAAGAGATCCCAGAAAGAACAGCAAAAAGATAACTTTCTATGAACTAAGAAGCAGATCCTCACCAGAACTCAACCATATTGGCACCCTGATCCTAGACTTCCAGTCTCTAGAACCGTGAGAAGTAAACTTCTGTTATTCATAAGCTACCCAGTCCATGGTAGTTTGTTGCAGCAGCCTGACCTAAGACACCTGCCAACCAGGAACACCCATATTCAGCAGACACTTGAGCAAAAAAAGGATTTCTATTGTGTTGATGCTAAATTTTTGGCTATTTATTTCATCACGTAGTATTATTACCCTAACCAATGTAGAAATTGGTATCTAGAATCGGAAAGCTACCTTAACAAATTCTAAAATATGTGGAATTGACATCGTGGATGGTAATAGAAAGCAAGGAAAAAGATCA